ATGATCACAGTTGCATATTCAGTTCAGTGCTGTGTTCACATTTCTTATTTGTGGAAAGTTGGTAGTGTCTTATTAAAGGTTCCTATCTCATCTTCAGCTGTGCCATAAGGAATGAAGGAGAGGCTTGTCCCACTCTTGCAATGGAGGGAGATAGAGAATAGCAATTGCTAGAGCCACCACGATGGTGGCAGTAGTGCTTAGGGAAAGATCGCCTGGGGAAGGTGAATCTTGAAGACAGTTAATCAGGGTTGTGAGTCCAGCAGTCCTTCCCCCATGATGGTGGGTCATCTCCCTCCATTGCCATCTCTGGTGGATCATGGTGGTGTTTTTTTTTTGAGGAAGCTGGTGAGTTTCTTTATAGATGGTAATAGCACATCTATCTGGCTGCTTTGGCAGAGGAGGAGCTCTAGGGCTCCTGCAGGGGAACTCCTGCAGAGACCAGCATCTATAGACTTAGAGACCCTTGGATTTAGGCATGGGGAGGAAGTATGGCCACTTGGCAGAAATACAGGCTCTAGAGAGCAAAGTGATTCTGGTCACACTTGAAATGAGAGATCATTCTTCTTGCTTCCAAGTCTGATAACATTTCCCGGTAGATAACATGTGTCTAACCCCCTGGGATGGGGACATGGGACAGGTATGGGACACCCTACAGAAAGAGCAGGCAAAGTTGGCAGCATAGGTCCAAAGTGGAGTGGGGAAAATAGATCCTTGAGAAGGTGGTCAGGTCATGGGTCTTCAGGAAGAAGAGGACAACTACTGGAAGTGCTTTAGGCAGAGTGACAGAGGTTGTTGATGCACTACTGCATGCACAGCTGTCTGGGTCCTGGTCCAGGGGTCACTGGAGGCACTGGGTTCCCTTACAGGAAAGTATGTCAGCAACATTCACATGCAATGAATGGCACAGCCTTAGGACGCCAAGCTTGCTGAACAAAGCTGTCCAATACTCCTTCATAGATGACAGCCTCAACCTAAAGGTGGGATTCAGCTGCCTGGAATTCCACCAGAATATAAAATACCCCTTTTGATGCAAATCAAAACCACAATGAGATATCATATCATACCTGTTAGAATGGCTGTTATCCAAAATTCAAGAAATGACAAATATTGATGAGGATGTGGAGAAAATAGAACCCTTGTACACTGTAGGGAAGGTAAATTGGTAGAGCCATTGTAAAAAACAATATGGAGGTTCCTCAAAATACTAAAAATAGAACTACCATATGATCCAGCAATTCCACTTTTGGGTATATATCTGAAGGAAAAGAAATCACTGTCTCAAAGGGATATCTGCACCCCCATGTTTATTGCAGTATTATTTACAATAGCCAAGACATGAAAACATCCAAGACTTGGATGGATGAAGAAAATGTGGTGTACATACATACAACGAATATTATTCAGCCATAAAAATAAGGAAATCCTGTCATTTGCAACATGGATGGCCCTGAAGTCATTATGCTGAGTGAAAAAAAGTCAGACAAAGTCAAGTACTGTACGATCTCACTTGCATGTGGAATCTAAAAAAACTGAACTCAGAAGCAGAGCATGAATTGGTTACCAGAGACAGGGGCTATGTGCAAAGATGGTCAAAAGGTACAAACTGCCAGTTACAAGATAAATAAATTCTGGGAATGTAATGTACAGCCTTGTGATTATAGTGAACAATACTATACTGTATATACGAAAGTTTCTAAGAGAGTACATTTTAAAGGTTCTCATCACAAGAAAAAAATCTTTTAATTAAAAAAATGTTTATTTACTTGGGGGGGGAGGGAGAGAGAGAGAGAGAGAGAGAGAGAGAGAGAGAGAAGGAACAGGGGAGAAGCAGAGGGAGAGGGAGAGAGAGAATATCAGCGGGGCTCAATCTCATGAACTGGGAGACCTGGCCTGAGCCAAAATCAAGAGGCGACGCTTAACCAAATGAGCCACCCAGGTGCCGCCCCCCCAAATCTTTTAATTATGTGAGGTAATGGATGTTGACTAAACCTACTGGTGGTGACCATTTCTCAATATGTAGATATATCAAATCATTATGTTGCATACCTTAAACTAATACAATGTTATATGTCAATATATCTCAATAATAACTGGGAAAAAAAAAGAATAAAAAATAAAGTGTACCTTTATATATATTCCTTTCTAGAACGAGGATGAAGTAGGGTGAAAGTTGACAGCAGAAGTCCTAAGAAAGTGTAGACACATCACCAGCCCTGATTTTATCTTCTTGGCAAAATCATTAGTTTGAAAGGCTTGGTGGGTTAGGAGCTGTGTTAACAGTCCCTCCCCAACCTGGGCAGAAATGACCACTGTTGGTGGTATTTCATGCTAGGTAGTGTTGTTGACTGGGGCTTTAGTTAACACTGCTAGAAGGCTCAGATAAATTTTGAGCCACAAATTGCCCTGCCAGAGGCTCTTCTCTTTCAGGCACAAACAGAAAGGTGCCCCCGTGAGTTCCCCTTCTTTCCCTAAATGGAGAGCTTACAATTTCCCAATACAATTGCGTCTGAAGGAGAGAGGGTTGGTGTCTGGGTGGCCTATGAACTTTCTTGGTTGCAGCAGAGACTGCTATAATGCTAAAGGTTTGGCAGTGGTGGTGGAAGGGGGGCCTGAGGGCTATTAGGGTTCTGGCTGAATCCAGCTGTGTTAACTGCAGTTGGAATTCCTGCCACCTGAGGACACTGTTGGAAAAGAGAAAGTGGTGGAAGCTTTGGCGATCAAGGCTGCTCAGGAATTGGCTAGCACAGTTGAAAGGAGAGGAGAGGAGGCAGAAATTTGCATGTTTACCCAAACAAAGGAGCTGCATATGACTATAGGAGTTAGTTCTGGTAGGCAAATCAGAGGTGGCACCTGAACTGAAAAGATTCCCATAAAGCATTGGGACAATGTTACAGAAGATGTCTTTGTCTGGAGATGAGCTAATTGAGGGTGAGAGCCAAATCCTGAACACACTTGCAAGATGGGGAGTTGTGGGGCTTGCTCCTCATCCCCAGCTCCCATCTGACAAAAGGACTAGATTTTTCAGTGGTGAGCGCCTGTGTCCTTGCCCGAGAAGGTGAAACAGCAGTCTGGGAGGACACCAGTGACCCTAGCAGCAGGGTCTGGCTCTAGGCCAAGGGGCTGGCATGTTGGGGTCTACGAAGTGGAGCAGGGACTCAGGTCGCACGTGGAGGGGAAGGGCCTACTGGTGCTCATGGTGGGGACTAAATCTACCTTAAAGGGAGGAGCAGCAAGCAGGCACTGACACAGAGATGTTTCTTCTGGATTTTTAAGTCTTCAGTGAACAGTGAGTGAACAAGTATGGAACAAGTGTAGACAAGGATAGAGTTAAACAAGTTTTAATCTTTGGTTTTGCTCTTATTATAATTTCCCTTGAATAGCACCTTAAAAGAAGTGATACCTGTGACATCTATAAATTCAGAGGCTCCCATGAATCAGCCCAGAGTCATGAGGCTACAGGAGAAGCCATTCCAAATACACATTCTAATCTTTTTTTTTTAAGTTGATTTATTTATTCTGAGGGGGGGGTGCGGGGAAGGGCAGAGAGAGAGGGAGAGGGAGAGAGAATCCCGAGCAGGCTCCACACCTTCAGCCCAGAGCTTGATGCAGGGCTCAGACTCACAAACCCATGAGATCATGACCTGAGCCCAGATCAAGAGTCAGATGCTTACAGATGCTTAACTGACTGAGCCACACAGGCACCCCAGAAATTCTAATCTTAACTTTTATTTGAATGTCATGTTCTCTCCTGTTCTCTAGCATTCCCAAACTTCTGAGAGTATCTTGCTTTCCTAGGCGATTCGATCTCTCCCTTCATCTATCTGCCCTGGCTCACTGCTACATGCTTCCACTGCCAGAGACACCCTGAGGAGTGTGGTTGCCTTCCTCTTCTCAGACTTTCTCTGGTTCTCAGCCTCTTGGCATAATATGCACATCACAAAAGTCTAGAAACTCTTCTGACTTAGTCCAGAGTCTCTACAGAGAGTTGGAAAGGTGGAAGGTGAGGAAAGGGACAGATTTAGTAAAAAACTTCTACAGAGCCATTTTCCCAACTGATGGTTAGTTTTTCATCAGTAACAAAATAGATACAAACTTTAAATTTCTTCCTAACTGGTACATTCGCACAAATGGCCTGAGGTCTCTGGTGGGATAACATACACCCATGGAAGAATGTATGCCTATATATGTATAGATATTTCTTTTTTAAAATTTTAATTCCAGTGTAGCTAACATATGGTGTTGTATTAGTTTCAAGTGCACCATATAGTGATTCCACAATTTTATACACTCCTCAGCGCTCATCATAAGTGTACTCTTAACCCCTTCACCTAATGGGTATTAAGGAGGGCACTTGTGAGGAGCACTGGATGTGATAGGGAAGTGATGAATCACTAACTTCTACACCTGAAACCAATTTTACCAAATATGTGAACTAACTAGAATTTCAGTACAAATTTGAAATAAAGAAAATCCCTTCACCTATTTCACTCTGGATATTTACTCTTATATGTGGTCAGTTCTCTGTGGCCAAAGAGCTCATCACCTTTTCCAACCTGGGAGCTCCCCTACTCTGATTTCTGGTGATTCTGCTTCTCCAAAAAGTCTACATTACTCGCGTATAAAGTCTCATGATCTATCATTTTCTTTGGTTCTTCATTGAAACCCAAAGATAGTAATAGCCTTTTTCCTTAATGTACTTGTTTCTTTTCCTCACTGCAGCCCATATCCTCTATTGTTTTTTAGTAAATAATGCACATGTAGTCAATAAAGTGGGAGATGAACATGATTCTGAATTCTTAAACATGTGGCATAGACAGTGACTTTGGGTAATGCACTCGATTATAGTGTTCCTCCCTGTAGAGGATTACTATCAGAACTATTTTTCCTAAAAATTGAACTTATGAGGCACTTGCTTTATTGTGATAAAAATATCTGAATATTTGAATTGTAACTATGTTTTATTGCTGTTAGATTTCGAACACAATGAAGTGTAAATTTACCTCTGATATATTCACCAATGAGCTCTAAATTAACTTCCACATGCCTAGCAGTTGGATCAAAGGCACAAATGTTCGCGACAAAGTGTCCATTAACATACTGTGAACAAAAGAATAAAAGTTATGGGAGCATCAGCAAGTGGGAGTAATCCAATTCATGAGTTTACATAATTCCATTTCTGTAAATTAAAAAAAAAAAATTTAATGTTTATTTTTGGGAGAGAGACACACCCAGAGTGTGAGCGGGGGAGGGGCAGAGAGAGACACAGAATCCAAAGCAGGCTCCAGGCTCTAAGCTGTCGGCACAGAGCCAGATGCAAGGCTCGAATCCACGAGCCGTGAGATCATGACCTGAGCTGAAGTCGTCAGATGCTCGACTGACTGAGCCACCCAGGAGCCCCCATTAATGTAAATTTTAAAACAGGCAAAACCAATCTACAGTGTTAGGAGTCAGGATTCTGGTCACTCTTGGGGTGAGTGAGAAAATGTGCGTGTGTGTGTGTGGGGGGGTAAGTGATAGGAGAGGGTACAAAGAAAGGCTTTGGGGGGTCCCATTAATGTTTCTTGAGCTAGATGCTGGTTACAAATGTTTATTGTGTAAAAAATCTTGCATTTTTACTCTTAGGATTTGTGCAATTATGATTTGTATACCTAAACTTGTGTGGGTTATTCTTCAACAAAAAGAATGTTTAAAAAAAAAAAACTTACCATTTTACACTTGTCCCAATTTCCGAAGTCACTTGATAATTCCAGCTCTGGATGAATGAACAAGATAACCGCTAACAGGATGTCATGTACTAGTTTTGTGTTGGCCTCCACCTCCTGGGACTTGGTGTCTGGCAGGTATGTGGGCTCTACCGAAGGATGATAGTCATAGAGTAACAGTGATACAAAGTCTAAGGAGGTAAGCAGTTGGAGGCTTTCCTGCAGCTCTTGCAGCATGATTCGGAAAAAGAGAATTCCTGCCCGCTGGACTTCACCTACATTTTCAATCTCTGAAACAACACAGTAACATCTCACACTGTTGTTCAGTACATATATTGGTTTTTCATAGCATTCTGAACATAATACAGTAAACTTTTTTTTCCAGGAAAAAGACAGCCATATCCTATGCTTTTAAACAATCTTCGTTTCTCTAGTCATGAAATTAATATGCAGAAATGGAATTACACTGGTGAAGCTCACAGGAAGAGGCTTTGAGGAAAGGTAAAAACTCAGGTTTTGGAGTTGGACCTCAGGTTGAATACCCGCTCTTAGGTTTGTCTCTCTGAACCTCCTTTTCCTTTCTGTGAGCATAGGCTGATCCCTACTTCCCTGGTGGTCTGGGAATTGAATAAGATGATATAAGTAAAAGTGCTTAGTGGTAAGTACATAGTGAATGCTCAAAAAACATAAATTTTCTTCTTTTTTCTACTTACTCCACCCTACCTGGTGGCAAGAAACCTCTCAGATTAATCCCACGTAGTGTTACTCTATTTACTCCATTCTAGATAGCCAAAGGTCTCCATGTTTCCTTCTTCCTTCCCTTATGGCCAAACTGATTTTGTACTAAGAGCAGCCTATTGGATGTGGAATCACAAGCACTGGGGTCTAGTCTTGGGTTCTGCCACTAAACTCCTATTGGACCTTAACTCTGATGGTTTTTAGCTTCTTTATCTGTAAAACAAGATAAGATTCACTTGTCCCAGCAAATGAATACTGTGTAATCTAGTGGAAAGAGCACCAGACTGGGGTGCAAATCCAGGTTTCATCACTTGCTAACTGTGTGATTTGGTGTGAGTTGTTTAGTTTCTCTGAGCTTCACTTTCCTCACCTGTGAAATGAGGCATCACCATTCACCTCACAGAGTTAGGGTAAGGACTAATTGAAATTACATATTTAAAGTGCTTGATACATGATGAGGCATTTAATAAATGCTAGTTCTATATTGCCTTTGTGAGTCCTTCCAGTTCTAAACCATATGATTCTAGCCAAGAAAATGAGACTTAATACCCTTTCCTCTAATTTATAGACCACACTCATCAGCCCAAGACTGCATGAGGGAATTCCTTTTATGCTGTATATTGCCGTATATTGTAACAATTCCTTTTAGAAAGTGCATCCTTCATTGCAATCTGTGATTCCCCCAAATTTATTAAACCCATGAATCCAGAACATTTACGTTCACAATACCTAGGATACAGTTTTTCTTTATTTCTCCAGATATTTCTCCCAATATTTCGTAGCAGGCAGCTTGGACCACCTTTATCATTTTCTGCAGATCTTTAAATTCTCGATACAGTAGCATCTTATTTCTGCCAATGTTAAAATCAAGAACTCCTAAGGCCTTTCCCGTTCTCTCACGGAGTGGAATTACTATGTGGTTCTCTCCACAGACAGAGGCCAAAATGACTTCTGAAGTGTCTGTACACTTAAAGAGGAAGTCTCTGAAACCGAAACCAAATAAGCATAAGGATATAAGACATCAGCAGTCTCGTAACATTCCACCCAAACATACTGAATCGCTCTTTTGTGCCAGCGATGCTCCAGCCACACCAGCCCTTGTTTCATCTGCCTGGACCGCTCCCCCCTTTCTTTCACAGAGCTCTCTCTCTCAGCTCACTCATTAGAAGCCTTCTCTGACCAAGCAATCTAAATAAAGTAGCAGCGCCCAGGTCGCTGTCCATCTGCTACTCTGTTTTATTGTCTTTTGCTATACTTCTACTTGTCTGAAGGTATTTGGTTTTTGTTTACATATTGTCCAATAAGTACCAGTTGAATGCCTGAAGGAACTGATGAGTATGTTAGATCAGGTTCCCTAGAAGCAGAGCCCGAGACATGAATGCTTCTGCAAAGGATTTATAGAGGGAGTGCTTTCCACAGAAACCTGTAAGGGTCTGAGGAAAGCAGAAGAGGGAAGAAGAAGCTAATTAAGAATGTGAAGGCTAGGGCCGCTTGGGTGACTCAGTTGGTTAAGCATCCGACTTTGGGCGTCATGATCTTACTGCTTGTGGATTCAATGTGAGTTCAAGCCCTGCATCGGGCTCGGAGCCTGGAGCCTCCTTCAGATTCTGTGTCTCCCTCTCTCTCTGCCCCTCCCCTGCTTGCTCTCTCTCTCTCTCTCTCTCTCTCTCTCTCTCAAAAATAAGTAAACTTATAAAAATTTTAAAAAGAATGTGAAGGCTAGCCTCAGCCTCATCCTAAGGGGAGCTCTGGAAGGCAAATGGTGCCAAGAATCTGCCCCACCTTGGAGAGGTCTTTTATCAGTCATTGGCTCCACCATGCATCTTTGGGTGTGTGTTGTAAGACGAGTGTTTACCTAACTGTGATGCACAGCCAGGTAAGGGGCTCCCATCACTCAAGGGCACTGCTCCAGAGGAAGCTATAGTGTGCAGCCCCTAGCAGAATGTATTTTAGGGATATGGGTAGGGCCTCAGCAGCACTGCTCCCTGGAGGGACCTGAGATTTTCATTGAAATGTAGTAGTGGTTTCTCTCTCTAGTGACATATAGACACATCTCGTTCCCCCTTTCCAGTCTATGTTGACATTCAGATGTCATTCTTTTGAGGTATTTGTAAAAATGTTGGTGCTTTGCCTAGCCTCAAAAAGCACATTTATGACTCAAAATACCAATCCTATAATGCCAGGGAAGATTATGTCCTTTATGTCTTTTTTTTTTTTTTTTTTTTTTTTTTTGCTGTTCCCACTCCTTCCTGCTGCTGAGCCACCACTTTGTGTCTTTATGATAACCACAGTCATGAAGCATCATGCCAAACTTTCCAGGCATAAAGATAAAGCTGATTGGTCAACAAAGTTCCTCAAGAGGCACCTGTTGTAAGTTACACACAGGAGTCCAGATTGAGTCTGGGTGTGCAAGGACTCTCATAAAATTCGACCAGCACAAGGAATAACTGTGGAAAAGAGGTTGAAACTGAATGAACATTCAGATATGAGGCCAAACTAAAATTTAATTAACACATGTACTTAAATGTCAAATTAGCCTACCGGACTGGGATAGATTACTGCCTACTCAACCACACTGACCTCTAACAAGCAGTCAGTCCCTTTTGCGATAGGTGCGTCCCAGGTTGAGATCAGTTTTGCATCTGTCCGGTTTGTGTTCCTGGCATCCCACAGATGAAAGGCATGCAAAGTAACCCAGAGCTGAGTACTTATTACAGACAATGTTCTCTGCTTCCTCCCCACCTTTGCCTGGCCTGTTTTCTTCAAATAAAAAATACACGTCCACAGGCTAGCTAACATTAACATGATGAGCTCTGGTAAGTGACATGGATGTATTTTTCACAATCATGGCGGATTTTTGTTGAATTCCATGTTTGAAAAAAACATCACAGAAAAATAAAACACTATCATGCTTTAAAATATGCAATTTTAATATAAAATACCAATGAAATCTGTTTAAAAAAGTACTTGAAGGGGAAAGGAGTTAACATGTCCCACGCAAACAGGAATTTTTCTTTAAAACCTATCAGGGTAAGATTTAAGTATACTAAGAATAGACAAAAGCTGTGTTTCTCAGATCTACTATCACAGTAGGGGAATGTGTTTTGGCAATCGAGCAAAACAAACATGAAAATGCTTCTCATACCTGAAGATGCATGTCTTCCTGAAGATGATAGGGGGATTCCTGTGGATTTTTGTTAGACCCAGGTGCCTTGTAACCATCATATTGCGTAAAACATAGTCTGAATCCTTGAAAACAGGAAGAGATTTCAACACAGAGAGAAATGATTAAACCTTACTTTCCCTTTAGAGAAGTTTGGGGAACAGAAAAATAGAGGAAAAATTTTAGGAAAGTTTAGATGATGTCTAGCTTGAAGTATCAGGACATTTTACTTAGTACTATTAAGAATGAGGTATTCACGGGGCACCTGGGTGGCTCAGTCGGTTAAGTGTCTGACTCTTGACATTGGCTCAGGTCATGATCTTGTGTTTGGGGGACTGAGCCCTGCATTGGCCTCTGAGCTGACAGTGTGGAGTCTGCTTGGGATTCTCTCTTCCTTTCTCTCTGCCCCTCCCCCACACCCCGATCCCCATTCTCACCCCCTGCTCATGGGTGTGTGTTCTCTCTTTCTCTCTCTCTCTCAAAAATAAACATTTTTATTTTTATTTATTTTTTTATTTTTTTAATTTTTTTTAACGTTTATTCATTGTTGAGACAGAGAGAGACAGAGCATGAATGGGGGAAGGTCAGAGAGAGAGGGAGACACAGAATCCAAAACAGGTTCCAGGCTCTGAGCTGTCAGCACAGAGCCTGACGCGGGGCTCAAACTAACGGACCGCTAGATCATGACCTGAGCTGAAGTTGGACGCCCAACCAACTGAGCCACCCAGGCGCCCCCAAAATAAAAATTTTTTAAAAAGAGAATGAGGTGCTCACAAGAGAAAAATTTCAAATTATGACATTTTTTTAAATAAACAAACTTATTTTTTATAATTGTGATAAAACTGTGTGTTTATATTATTATTATTTTTTGATGTTCAAGTTGCATTGTAGAACATTTGGAAAATACAGAAGAGTCCAAAGAAAATAAGAACAATAAAAAATATTCTCCATTGAGGTCTTTGTCTTCACCAAAACTTCAACAAAAACTGTTCTGGTCAAGGTTTCTAGTGGCTCTGTCATTGTATTATCCACTGATCTACCCCCAATCATCATCTTTCTCTATAGCAGCACTTGACTCAGTGAACAACTCCCTTCTTTTTCTTTTTTTTTTAATTTTTAATTTTATTTATTTATTTTTTAAAAAAAGATGGGCTGTATTTTTTAAATTTTTATTAATGTTTATTTTTTAGAAGTATTTTAGTTTCTTTATTTCTTTTTTTTAAATGAAATTTATTGTCAAATTGCTTTCCATAAAACATCCAGTGCTCATCCCAACAGGTGCCCTCCTCAATGCCCATCACCCACTTCCCCCTCCCTCCACCCCCCATCAACCCTCAGTTTATTCTCAGTTTTTAAGAATCTCTTATGGTTTGGCTCCCTCCCTCTCTAACTTTTTTTTTCCTTCCCCTCCCCCATGGTCTTCTGTTAAGTTTCTCAGGATCCACATAAGAGTGAAAACATATGGTATCTGTCTTTCTCTGTATGACTTATTTCACTTAGCATAACACTCTCCAGTTCCATCCACATTGCTACAAAAGGCCATATTTCATTCTTTCTCATTGCCAAGTAACATAAAATACCTAGGAATAAACCTAACCAAAGATTTAAAAGATCTGTATACTGAAAACTATAGAAAGTTTATGGAAACTGTTTATAGAAAGTTATAGAAAACTATAGAAAGTTTATAGAAAGTTAAGGAAATTGAAGATGATATAAAGAAATGGAAAAACATTCCATGCTCATGGGTTGGAAGAATAAATATTGTTAAAATGTCAATACTACCCAAAGCTATCTACACATTCAGTGCAATCTCAATCAAAATTGCACCAGCATTCTTCTCGAAGTTAGAACAAGGAATCCTAAAATTTGTATGTAACCACAAAAGACCCTGAATAGCCAAAGTAATATTGAAGAAGAAGACCAAAGCAGTAGGCATCACAATCCCGGACTTTAGCCTCTACTACAAAGCTGTAATCATCAAGACAGCATGGTATCGGCACAAAAACAGACACACAGACCAATGGAATAGAATGGAGACTCCAGAATTGGACCCACAAAAGTATGGCCAACTAATCTTTGACAAAGCAGGAAAGAATATCCAATGGAAAAAAGACAGTCTCTTGAACAAACGGTGCTGGGAGACCTGGACAGCAACATGCAGAAGAATGAAACTAGACCACTTTCTTATACCACTCACAAAAATAAACTCAAAATAGATAAAGGACCTGAATGTGAGACAGAAAACCATCAAAACCCTAGAGGAGAAAGCAGGAAAAAACCTCTCTGACCTCAGCTGCAGCAATTTCTTACTTGACACATCTCCAAAGAAAAGGGAATTAAAAGCAAAAATGAACTATTGGGACCTCATGAAGATAAAGAGCTTCTGCACTGCAAAGGAAACAATCAACAAAACTAAAAGGCAACCAACGGAATGGGAAAAGATATTTGCAAATGACATATCAGACAAAAGGCTAGTATCCAAAATCTATAAAGAACTCACCAAACTCCACACCCAAAAACCAAATAATCCAGTGAAGAAATAGGCAGAAAACAAGAATAGACACTTCTCTAAAGAAGACATCCAGATGGCCAACAGGCACATGAAAAGACGCTCAATGTTGCTCCTCATCAGGGAAATACAAATCAAAACCACACTCAGATACCACCTCACGCCAGTCAGAGTGGCTAAAATGAACAAATCCGGAGACCATAGATGCTGGAGAGGATGTGGAGGAACAGGAACCCTCTTGCACTGTTTGTGGGAATGCAAACTGGTGCAGCCTCTCTGGAAAACAGTGTGGAGGTTGCTCAAAAAATTAAAAATAGATCTACCCTATGACCCAGCAATAGCACTGCTAGGAATTTACCCAAGGGATACAGGAGTGTTGATGCATAGGGGCACTTGTACCCCAATGTTTATAGCAGCACTTTCAACAATAGCCAAATTATGGAAAGAGCCTAAATGTCCATCAACTGATGAATGGTTAAAGAAATTGTGGTTTATATACACAATGGAATACTACTTGGCAATGAGAAAGAATGAACAACTCCCTTCTTGACATACTTTCTTCACTTGGCTTTTGGGACAACACTCTCTCTAGTATTCCTACAAATCACTCATATTTCTTGCTGCTTCTTTGTCTTCCTCACCTCTAAGAGGTTTTCAAGCTGTAGGCCATAACCTACCTATGGGCTGTGAAAATATTTTAATGCCTTTATTATATTTTATTATTTGAGAGAGAGAGAGAGAGAGAGGGAGAGAAAGAGAATTTTAAGCAGTTTCCATGCTTAGTGCAGAGCCTGGATGGGGCTCAATCCCACGAACCTAGGATCATGACCTGAGCTGAAATCAAGAGTCAGATGCTCAACTGACTGAGCCACCCAGGCACCCCTTAACGACTTTTAAAACCAGTTTTATTGAGGTAGCATTGATATATAAAAAACTGCACATATTTAATGTATACAATTTGAAGAGTTTGGACTGAGTCTTGACCAACGTTTTATTTATTCATTTATTTTTTGGTGGAGACTGATTTACTTATAAGAAAGTAATATTAACATATCTTGTAAAATATGCAGGATATATCTTATGACTGTATAATATATGACTGTAGAAAAGACTAATTCAATTGGAAGAAGTAAAAAGGGGTTTTTATGTCTGCCTTTAAAAAGTTCTTTGAGGGGTGCCTGGGTGGCTCAGTCAGTTAAGACTCTGATTTTGGCTCAGGTCATGATCTCACGGCTTGTGAGTTCGAGCCCCACATCGGGCTCTGTGCTGACGGCTCAGAGCCTGGAGCCTGCTTTGGATTCTGTGTCTTTCTCTCTCTCTCTGCCCCTCCTCCACTCACACTCTGTCTCTCTCTGTCTCTCAAAAATAAATAAACATTAAAAAAAAAAAGTTTTTTGATTGGAGCACCTGGGTAGCTCAGTTGGTTGAGCGTCAGACTTCCATTCAGGTAAGATCTCACCCATGAGTTCGAGCTCCACGTGGGGCTTTCTGCTGTCAGCGTGGAGCCTGCTTCAGATCATCTGTCCCCCTTTCTCTCTGCACCTCCCCCACTCACACCCTCTCAAAGATAAATAAACATTTAAAAATAAATAAAAAGTTCTTTGATTAAGAGGGAACCTTGATAATAGGATCAATAGGGGCAGCATGATGAATGGTGCCTGGGAGAAGAACAACTGTTTTGCGGTGTGGAACGTTTACTTGCCACGACCTCAAGTGTTCTCCCAAACCCTTTAGATGAAAAATGTTTTCAATAGAATGTTTAGCAAACTGTAAAGATTCTCTGATGCTGGCAATGGAGCATCTAGCTTTTCCTAATATATTTCTTCCATGGTTTGAATCCATCTAATTCCATGGTTAGAATCTCACTGTGTCTGTGTTTCTAGGTTTAAATCTTTAGCCCAAACTAAACAATTCCTCTCCTGTTCCCACCTCTCCCCTCAAAATTGGGTCAATTGGGCCACTTCTGTTAAGATTGGAACCATACTGGGGCGCCTGGGTGGCTCAGTCAGTTAAATGTCTGACTTCGGCTCAGGTCATGATCTCATAGTTCTCATAGTTCGTGGGTTTGAGTCCCACGTTGGGCTCTGTGCTGTCAGCTGCTTCAGATTCTGTGTCTCCGTCTCTCTCTGCCCTTCCCCCGCTTGTGCTCTGTCTCTGTCTCTCAAAAATTAGTAAATGTTAAAAAAAATTTTTAAAAAAGATTGCACAAAAAAACCCATAAAATACCTAGGAATAAATCTAACCAAAGAGGTGAAAAATCTGTACGCTGAAAACTATAGAAAGCTTATGAAAGAAATTGAAGAAGACACAAAAAAAGGGAAAAAGATTCCATGCTCCTAGATAGGAAGAACAAATATTGTTAAAATGTCGACACTACCCAAAGCAATGTACATATTCAATGCAATCCCTATCAAAATAACACCAGCATTCTTCACAGAGCTACAACAAATAATCCTAAAATTTGTATGGAACAAGAAAAGACCCCGAATAGCCAAAGCAATCTTGAAAAAGAAAACCAAAGCAGGAGGCATCACAATCCCAGTCTTCAAGCTATACTACAAAGCTGTAACCATCAAG